GAAATCTATAATATTTGTTTTCAGAGCACCTGAAAAGATGCTGGTTGAACCACAACAGCAACCGGCGGTCCTGCCCAATCATAGTAATCGCAAACACGATAGCAATGCCTCCAAATGGGATGAAGATGATTTTACTGAACTTCTAGGGTACATTGTGCAATTTTTCTAAGCATTCTCCTGTTATATCACGCATCGATTATTCCTAATGCGTAATCGTTTAATTATTCAGAAGCAAAGTTGTCCCGGAGAACCCAAGCGCGACGCTCATCCCAGATCGTGTGTATAAAGAAAATCGTGCCAATTGGAATGCCAACTACCAGCAATCTGATAATTTGCACAGCAATGTGAACTGGTCGCTACCAGCATGGAAGGAATCACCATCGAGGATGTGGAATCAGTCAAATCAATCCAATCAAAAAAACTTGCGCAAAGTTTCGGCGAAACAACACTACCTCAGTGTGGCTCGGTATGTCGCAGGCCAGAGCACAAATTTGCCATCCAGGTACATAAAGCTCCGAAATCCAGTCCAAAAAATTCTTATCGCATGCGCGATATTAATAATCGGCCATTTTTTTGTACAATTGCAAATAAGATGGAATGTATTTTCCGCGTATTTGATAAATATGTTCAAATTTATGCCGTACAGAATGAATCACTCTCGACCAAGATCATTTCGCGATATGATTGCCTACATATCGATTCATTTGATTAATTTTATGCAAGATTCGACAGCTATATTATCAAAAATTTTATTTCCATTGAATATCTCCTTAAATATCTTTGTTCAATCATTTGACATTGTTGGAGCAATTTGTCAAATTTTTCAGAATTCAATTCTTCATACTACACGTCTTCTGTATCCGTATCGAGTTTTATCGATTTATTTTGCCGAATATCTTGTTCAATATTTTATGATAACAGCAAACTTGCTAAATCACATTATACGATCACTCGCGCTACATATAGTACACACATTGCGATATATCTTGACAATTATTGTACTGATTATCGAAATTTCGACAACATGTTTATCGCATTCATTGGATGGCAGTAAATGTGTACTGAATGAAACAATTTTTCAAAACTAAAAATTTTTCAAAATAAAATGCATGAATAATAACAAATATATACTTAATAATATTGTACTGGATTCTTATTATAATTCTTATGTAAATTCAAAATATACGGAATAAACTATCTATGCGTTTTTATTAATTTGTTCTGTGACTTTTTTATCATCTATTATTTATATAATGTTTTTCATTTCATATTATTCATTTTCAAGAAATGAGGATTCCGATATCAACCGATCTAAACTGCTATTGAATGGATTCATCGGTCAGGCAACATCCAACAAATATGAGGATTTTACAGAGTCCTTTTGGGGACCTAGAAATAACATTGAGAATCAAACAAGGCAACATTTTCTCGCGCGAAATCGTTATATTGCCGAACAAAGCTTGAGATTACCTTATCCCAGCGTATATGGTACCCAAAGTATCAGTGAGTACTTCACACAAGTACTTATATACACGCTATTGCATTCTTGCTTCAAAAATGGCGCAATATATTTTTTTTTATTAATCTAATATCGCAATGCAAAAATTACTTCCTTCTATTTCAGAAGAATAAATTTTTAAACATTTTTGAAGCAACAATGCAGCTATTACAATTACACATTGAAAATAGGGAAAATTGATATAGATCAGTTAATATGATATATTTTTTCGATAGAAACTACCAATAAACCTATGTTTCAACCAAACTTGTTTGGAAACGTTTTCAACACGAAAGCCAGCAGCGGGCCTCATGGCCGAACAGATTGGGCAGCAAAATATCTCAAATGACCGTTATAGAAAGGTTCGTTCTTCTCAAATCGATAATTTGTCATGGCCTAGGCAAATTTCAACTGTGATAGAACGATGTTGTCGTTCCTTTATGACAGAAACACAAGTAGAAAGAACGTATTCTTTTTCATGGTGAAATTTTACGAACGTAAAATCATATTTTAATTACATATAATATCACATGAAAATGGAATCGTCACGATGTGTTATCCAATTGTATAGCATTCTCACATGATCAAAATTCCAAAATCGGTTATATAGATAGATATTTATATATAAGTCGTCCATGTTAGTTGATCATGTGTGAAAAGGCTTAATTTTTTAAGAAACGAATAATTTTCAAAATGCGATAATATATGTATGTATGTATGTATGTATGTATGTATGTATGTATGTATGTATGTATGTATGTATGTATGTATGTGTACAAATACACACGCAATTGTTTGTATATATTAATTATCCAATGCGGCGTGATTTCTTTGCGATATTTCATAATAACACGATGATAGAACGCAGTATCATTATAAAGCACGTCAATTGGTAATAATATATATTCATTCGATATAGAATCAATACCAAAGTATCACGCCTGATACATGTATGCAAATATGGCATTATTAGAATGAAAAATATAACATATGTATAACAAATAATACGCATTTTTTCTATTATATTGTATACATTATATGCGACATTTTTATATCTTTTTTGTTATCTAAATTATAATTTATTTTTCTCAAAAACATTGATGCGATTCTCGTATTAATTCAAAAGAATAAAATCACGCGAAAAAATTTCGCTCTAAAGAACAAGAGACTTCAAAAGGTAAGTGCAAATATATTTTATATTAGTTAAAAAGAATTACGAAGATATTAATGATGTTAGGTACATAATATCTAATAAAAAAGTAACTTTTTCTTGATATTATAAATATTGATAAATTTCTCACGCAGGCAATGCCCATTTTCTCTAAGAGATCATGAAAGAGTAGAAATAAAAATTTTTATTAAAAGATTGATATCAAATGAAGCTCTGTTTCTCTCATTTTTGTTAAAATAAATTTGATATTAATACAAAAAAAAAATATATATAGTTTAAAATTTCTTTTACTTTATATGACATAAGAATAAAATTTATTTAAACGCGTTAGCCTTGAAATATTGGTTTACAGAGCATTTTTCGCCTTTAAAATTGTATATATAAGAAAGGAGATACATTAAGCAAAAGAGTATTTCACATACTCTGCGTATAATTATATATATAATATGTACATATATAAACTTTAAGAAAAAATTGATATGTCGCTTATGAATAACGCATGTATATTGAATCATTACTACAATCTGTTTTCTATAATTAGAATAATTGGAATAATTAGTTAACTTTAGAGATAAGTTATTCATTTAATAATAAGACTATGTTAACATAATTAATATATACAATTAAATAATTATGAAATCAATTGTTTCTCATGATCATATCTTTTGACATACATTAAAAATTGAAAGGAAAAAAATTGAAGACATTTGCTCAATCGCATAATCGATTATGTTTTTTTTCTATTATATCACTAATTATATCGCTTAACTTTACAACTTTTACTTTGATTACAATCTCCTACATAACATCAGATATGTTTTGAGCAGATAATACGAATAATGAAATTAGAGGGGTAAAAGAGAGAACGTTTCAGATGAGAAAGTAAGTCTTTCTCCTTTGTTAACTGCACTGATATCATAAATATCTTAATTCACATTCACATTCATCAGATGAATACTACGTAACAATGTATCGCATATCCAAATATCGTAATAATAAATATAACAAAATATCACAAAATATCTATATTTGATAGCATTTTTTATACATACATTTTATAAAATTAATAAATATTTAAATATAAATATTTAAATGAATATTTGTGCATAATTTCATGTGCTCATCAAAACTTTACGTTTATTAAAATTATTTCTATTTTTATTTTACAGATGAAAATTATAAAATTACGAATGAAATGCAATTTATTGAAGTCAATGATAAATTAAAGATTAAGTTCATTTAAAATTACATCTATAATAAAAGTTAAAGCAATCTTTTATATTTATATACATTATATATATATATATATTTTTTTTGGTTGTCAATTATTGCTTGATATTGTCCATTTTTTTATTCCAAGTTATAATAATATGATTATTCTTCTTTTTGCTTTGGAAATGCATCTAAAGAATGTACTTAGTGAATGTAAAATAATTATGATGCCTAGTGTATCATATAAATATACATATTTTATATTTACGTATCAATTATTCACACATGGAAATGTATATAACAATTTGACAGGATATATATTATAATAACTTTATCAGCAAAAATTTCTTCATTTCGTCAACCATAAATAGTCTAACAATATTATGCATTAAGACAATAATAAAAATAAAACAATAAATAAAATAAAACAAAATAAAACAATATGTGGAATAAGTACAACGCATAATTTTTTACCAAAAGAATAACAACAATTTTACCACAATTCTTAAAGACATTCAGAAAAGTGATTTGTCAATGTGAAATAAAAGGCACACTTTAATAAAAAATAAATATTCAAAACTTCATATAACTTTAGCAAACTGTTCACTAAACCCAATATTTCATATATAATTATCTCGATTTCTTTGTGCATGTGTTTAATCTGGTATTTTAAAGATATTTTAAAGACAATACTCTACTATATGTTACATAGTTTATGCGTAAATAAATATTATCTAAAACAATGTCGTAATGAAAATCCTCGTTAAATGCAAAATTTAATTTTCAATCATGAACCATGTTTACTAGTGTATAATTTACAAGAATAGCAGGAGCACTTTGAATTTTTGCGTGCAGAATTTGTAACATACACTCAACGAATTATAGTACTTTTATTATTAGCTTGGTGCATAAAGTCAATTTTATTTTATTCTTCTTTATTGCTAATTCCGATTTTGATATATCTACACTTTTTGTTCATGAGTAATTTTAAAATTTGGACTGTGCGCGATTTATATATATATATACGTCCATGCATTGTTTTTAACACATTTTTTACATTATTTTAGTGTTTATTTTTCCAAGATTCATGTCTTTTTTATAAAATTTTTTGATTGAAATATTTAAAAATGCTTTTTGGATATCACATGCTTTGATAACACAAATTATTTAGATTTTTATTGAATTATGTGACAGAACTACATATCATTTTTCATCTTTTTTGTTTTTGTAAAGATAATACTTACATATATACACGGGAATAATTAAACAAATTATTAATTCTAATTCTAAAACAATATAATTACTTAATTACTAAACAATATATATATATATATATATATATATATAAAACATGTGAGCGATATTAAATGTTACAATTAGCAATAACAAAAATAAAATTAAATATATTTTTAATACACCAATTTTTAAAAGTCTAACCAATTTAAATACTTCAGCCTTATAGCAACTTTTCAACTTTTAAATCATCTTCTTCAACATGCACATACACTTACTCAATCATAAACACATACAAATACATACACGCGCGTATTCTCTTTTTCTTTCATATATTTATGTGAAAGCACCAGATTTAACACAGCACACAAACGTGTGCATCCTAATGTTGCAAGATCGCATTGCTCGTCAAAGTGACATTAGCCAAGATTTTTGGTAAGGCCGTCGTTGACGCGTCTAGCGATCCTCCATCGCTTAGTAAGCTTACGGTGCTGTTTGACAATAATGTTGACATCATGATCGTGGTTACCACATTGACGGTAGTCTTCGGCTTTGGTACCACCGTTGTTCTTTCAATAGTAGGTAAAGAGGAAGATATCGCAGTCGTTAGGGCGCTTGCTGTTATGTTAGCAAATGAAGTTGTCGAAAGTTGACCAACTTGAGCTTTTGTCATTTTCGAACACACGTCCTTGACTTGTACAGGAGGTCCGAGACAAGCATCCATCATATATGCTAATAACGATCCAATAGTCAAACCGGTGGTGTACGACAATGTCATAATATTACCTAATAGAATATATAGTGTTAGAATTTATTTTATAAAATAAATAAATCGATTAATAATTGTCTTAATGTTCAAATAAACTTCTTAAATAGTATTTTCAATCTTTAAATAAATTTCTTGGTAAAACAAAGTGGTTAAATAATAAAACGCCGAAATATTAACAATTTTAAAAAATTATAAATCTTGAAATAGAAAGATTTTCATGAATCGATCTTCTGATTCGTCAGGTGCCAGTAACATATATTGCGTCGTTTCTTTCTTTCCTCTTGATCAGTTCTGCTCTTTTCACAACATTTCGAAATTTATATTTATGACATATACCTGCAAGTTCTCGATGTTCTTCTGGTACTTTGCTAGGTGCTTGGATCATAGGTATAGAACCAACTATACCATTTGTAAGGCCAAGTAACCAAGAAAATAAGAGCGGATATCCTTCACCAGATAGAATAGGAGTACCACGTGGAATAGCGCAAAGTAGAAATAGAGGAATAAGTATAACGCGTGCGCTGGAGAAATAAAGCAACTGAGTACGTTTCCATTCATAAGGTATTAAAGCGAATACCTGCAAGAAACCAAGTTATCTTTATTGTAATCTTGATAAAAAATATTTTTATCTTGCTTTTCTATTTATTCCATTTTCATTTTTAAAAGGTAATATAAATATATATATAATTTTACGAGTTACTATCTTAACATTTTAAATTTTATCCATTTAAATTTGAATAATAAAAACTGTAAATTAAATATAAAGAGAAATAAAACAGGAAAATTGTGATAGACGATTTGTATAATTAACGATACCTTGCCGAGCAAATCAGAAGCGTTAAAGGCAGTCATCAAAATAACCGGCATCCATGATTCAAATTTACAAGATATTATTTCTGATACAATTCCTGGATAGAGACAGAGCGTTACAAAGTAAGCAACTCCAATGCTGGTCATATATGGGAAGATTAATTTAGCAACTTCGAGTCTTGCGAGCAAACCTCCTAAAAAATGATTATTAATTATTTTAATTTTGACTGTGAATTATAAAACTCTAAAATATTTTGAATGACTAAAATATATTGAATGACAGATAAATCGTTTTCCTCCACAAAGATCTGTACATGAATTTCATACAATCATTTAAAAAATAGCGTTATATACAAAATATCTAAAAATGTATATACATACATATATATATATGCATTAACGTGTGTGTCTGTCTGTGTGTGTGTGTGTGTGTGTGTGTGTGTGTGTGTGTGTGTGTGTGTGTGTGTGTGTGAAATAACTCAATTGTTTAAATTTTTCAATAATGAATGACAAACAATGAATGGTATTCTTACTTTTTATGCCGGACCATGGTGTACTTGTACTTTGTGTTCCATAGGCTCCTCTCATAATCACGACATCTTCAACCTTGTAAGTGGGTCCAGCGCTATCAGGTGGATTGCCTGAAGGAGCGCTAGGTTCATATACCGGATTACTAAATGAGAATGCAGAATACTGTCCGGTCGCTGCAACAATCGAAATTTTATAACTATTTTGACAACTTCAGCAATGACATTTTTCTTTTAAGCAATCCGAAGAAAATAATCCTTCAACGAAATTCGATATCATTTCTATACTACTTCTACTGGAAATTAATTGTTTAATTACCATTCAAATCAGCACTCCCACTCGCAGATTCTGTAGCCAACGGACTAGTTTGAATTTTTAATACTCCATACTGACCTTTCGAGGGATCACCAACTTGATCTAATGGATCCATCTATTCAATAAAGATAAAAATATAAATTGATTATAAAGTTGATACATTGATAAATCTTCATTGTGCCTCGATCAATTCGCATTTAGATAATTTTGAAAAAAATTAAATAACTCGCAGGTTCTTTTTCAAAATATTTGTTGACATTTTCTTCAATTTTCTAATAAAATTTTTACATAAATAAAGAATGTGATCACGTATATATGATCATGCAATATAATCACGCAATATGATTACATACCAGACCGACATCCTCCGTTGGTTCTAATGTGATTCGATTTCTTTCCTGACATAGAGTTATGTAAAATTGCACAAAATCGGTCTTTTGTACCACTTGATGTAACACAAAGCATAATAAAATCGTCATATTCGTTACGATGAAGAACATAGATGTGTTGCCACGTTCATCGTCGAGTAGAGATTTTGTTACTATTCGATTCATCGACACCCAAAAACCAGCGACGCCTGGAAGCGTGTAACAAAATATCTTATTTTATGCAATGCACAGCATGTTTCATAATAATTAAAAGAAACATACAAGTTGTCATTCGTAATATGTATATTAAAATACTAGCAAAAAATCTATTTTTACAATTTTTAAATTTCAACATTTTGTTAAAATAAGTTTTTGATCTAATAAAAGATTAAAGTGAAATGAAATGGAAACTCACTTTCTCCGGTCATTACAGCTTGAGTATATCGACTAGGAAGCATTGATGTATATCCATAAAAACTCGATTGCTGAACTGTAACGTCGTGCAAAAGACAATAGCATCAAATTTTGTCAGCCCTTCTATTATCTAATAATTGATGAATAAATTATTATTGGTTTTTTAACTGTACCTGTACAACCAAGCGATACTATAGCGACGGCAACTAAATTGACGGTATAAGAAGTTGCAACGCCGAAAAGTTCCCACCAAATTTCGCAGATTACTACGAAGTTGAGAATGACAAAGGAGACCAGGTATCCTAAGAATTAAAAATTAAATTATGTATATAATTATGAGTATTTTGCCATCAAACATGTTTCGATTCCAGCAAATTTTTCTTAGAGTGGCTGCGTTACAGTTTGATACATTTTGATCCATTCTTGTTATTAAATTATTTTAAATAAACTGTATTATTAGATACATGTCGCAAAATCACGTTCATTCCAATATCTGATTAACGTACAACTGATTAACAAACTGATAACAATCTCCATGTGTCTTACCAAATGTAATTCGCGTGTTCAGCGACAAGGTCTCAACTAAGATATTGTTTGCAAAGACTGCGAAGAAAGCCATAATAATATAAACAACAGACATATCGAAAATCACGGTGGTTCCCGGATATCTCGCTTGAAAATAATCCGCCGCTATAATGAAACTGTAACAGACAATATCACAATTTTCAGTATAAATAGCAAGATCTTAGTCCAAATTAAACGCAAAGTTCAGTCACTCTGTCTTAATTTGTTATTATAATTTATTTTTTGCTGCAGAAAATTACGAAGTATATCGACAAAAGTTTCAGAGAAGGTTTATAACTGACATCGCTAATTAATTATCATTATCGATTCTCTTTAAACAGCAAAGATTTTGTGTCGGCAAATACAAAGTCCATAGTAATATCGGTTTTAAAGGTTCTTAATTTTGTTTAACAACATTCATGTACAACGGCATATATACAGATATAATGCGTCGCAGGACCTGTTGTAAGGTAGAAGAAAGCCTATGCCACCGATAATCAAAGCCGCATAAATGAAGTTGTATTTGTCGACAGGCGGCGAGAGATGCTTGAATCCGTTCGAGAATTTGAACTCATTCATTCCTCTGGCCTTGCCCAGCTGGACATATCCCCGACTCAGATTTTCGTCCATATTGCCGGAGAAGAAATCCGCGGAGGAGGAGAGTTCAAAGAGACGGATGACTTGGTACTCGAGCGAGCTCTCTCTAGTCCATTGTACGCGGACGCGTGTCCGCGTTTCGAGCTTCTCGCGCGCGCGAGTATTCGCTTCCTGCCCGCCGGAATGGTCAGGGATGATTTGATCACGCACCTGATCACTACGATATTTATTTCCTCGCACTGCGTACCAAGTCTTTTCCTTACCCTCGAGCGCATGCTTTGACATTTACGGCATTGATTTCTGCGCGCGCCGGATTTTCGTGCCCTATGCCTGGTGCCTAGTGCCTGGTGCTTGGTGCCTGGTGCCTGGTGCCTGATGCCTGGTGCCTGGTGCCTGATGCCTGGTGCCTGATGCCTGATGCCTGATGCCTGATGCCTGATGCCTGGTGCCTGGTGCCTGGTGCCTGGTGCCTGGTGCCTGGTGCCTGGTGCCTGGTGCCTGGTGCCTGGTACCTGGTGCCTGGTGCCTCGATGTATCCTCGATGCGAGGCTTCAGATGCTTGATACTCGGTACTCGATCTACTTTACACGCATCAGCGGTAATTCGTGACAAGGAACGATGTCTAATAAAATCTAATAAAATCGAATGAAGGAAAAACCGATATAATCGCAGAGCATAACTGATCGTGACTACTAAAAGATATGTAATTTTGGATATCATTTTTAATAGAGTTTAATAGAGTTATACGTGTATAATAGAGTGGCAGAATTTACATATAGTAAAAAATAGCAGACGGGGCCAGTCGCAAAAAAAGATTAAGCGTTAGATGTTATAATGTATTAATAAATGCAATAATAAAAATATTTCTTCTTTCGAAATCTCTCTCATTTAGTTTGCCAGAAGAAATATAGTATCAATGAGCAACTTTAAATATTAAATCACATGTATTCGTGACAATTTTATCGATAAAAGAAGATTTAGAATATGGGCCAGAGTTTTTCTTTTTAATATCTTAATATTTCTTTTAATTTCTCTTAATATCTAGTAATCTGCCACAAAAGTTAACAAGCTTTGTCATACTTTCGGACAGTAATTTGTCAACATCGTCAGATATTATAGATCCTGTTTGAAACTTGTTGCTTTTCTGCCATCACAGAAGTTGATCGGCTCAAAATCTGTCTCTGCAGATTTGGCTATTGGAGAGAGAAAGAAAGGTAGATTAAAGAGTTAAATTCAATCTAATAACTATAAAACAAATAAAGGCATAAATAAAATGATTTTCTTTTATTTGATATAAAATTTCGATCAATTTCGATCTATAATCTATTCTATCGACAATAGCAAATTGAAGCAAATTATGAATTTAGTTACGAACTTTCGAGATTAAAGTTGGATGAAGATGGCATCCATCGATCGTCAAAAACATGAAGGAAAGAAACGTTCTACGGGGAGACTATAAGTTTATTTTCCGTTTTTGCGTTGGGCTTTTTATCTCACTTTTGTCAACAAATTTCAGATAAATATCTATTTCAACCAGCGTTATACATTAGTTAAACTATAAAAAACAAATCAAGGGTCCTATTCTCGAAATATATCGCATATAAAAATTCTATAATATACGTAACATATACTATAAGACTTTTATATACAACAGCTTCAAGAATAAAGCTCGAGCGATAAGGTCCGATTCACACATTTGTGAGCGTCATTTATCCTTGTTTAATATTTGATAAACAACAAGAAACAATTCTATAGATTGTGAAGGAATGAATCAGATCTTAGCCAAGGTGTAATATTTCCGTGGATATGCGCGCGATAGCTGCCAATCAGAAATCGTTATCCATGACATTGGAGCAACATGACTAATATTCCACCAATCGGAATTCACCGAAAAACAATATTACGGTTGTTGCCGATAAGTTACCGTCACGCACGATATTACACTTCGTTTCATTCTCGTCATGAAATAATCTAAAAGTGATGTCATCGCAGCCGTGTAAACCGTAGCGGCTGTTCTTGATTCCTTCGGTAATTTCTAGCAATTCCTAGAAAGAACTTTAGCAACGTTCGTCCGGAATCAGAATTGGCTCGAGTTAGCTCAAGATAATTACCGATAATTTCGTCATTCGTCGCAAGCTATTGACGTAAGGAAGATATGTCGTTGAATACGGCACACGCCAACGGTGGAGTTCTTCTCCATTCTGGCGAGTGGTAAGTGGCAAAAATTTACGAAAAATTATTGGAAATTATAACTCGGAATTTACATTGACGTGATTCGATGTTTCTGCTGCGTAATATCGCCATAGCCTTTCCGCCGACAATTAGCTCATTGTCGACGTCCTTGTCACTTTACCGGAATCAAATTTGTTATCACATAATCTTTTAATTCGTTCGGATAAATTTTTTCTGCCTCATAATGCGCGAATCATGTTTGTATCAATCGAAACTGTATATAATTTTAAAATTTTGTAACCAGTTTTTAACATCTAATTATAGCATCATACTCTTCTGCGACAATGTCAATATGGAATTTCATGGACAAGAGCAAGCAGAGTTTATTGGAAAGAAACATGGCAGATTATACTTGACAACTCATAGAATGATTTTCAATGCTAAAGATCAAACAGAAAAAATGCAATCATTTAGCTTCCCATTTGTCACATTGAGTGAAGTTGGATTTGAACAGCCGATTTTCGGTGCTAATTATATAGGAGGCAAGTGCCGTGCTCAACCGAATGGTAATTGGATTGGAGAATGCAAATTTAAATTACGATTCAAGAGCGGCGGAGGGGTAGAATTTGCTCAAGCTTTGCTGAGAGCTGCAGCGATGGGTAAGATAGATGTGTAATTGATGCAAATTATTTTTTAAGAAAATTATAATGACATATATATATATATATATATATATATA